TTTCTGGGAGTGGTCGGTTACTGGCGAATATTCATACGAGGGTATGCAGAGAAGGCTGAGCCATTGAGACTACTCCTTCGAAAAACTGAGAAATTCTACTGGGATTCCTCGCAGGAACTCGCTATGCAAGAGCTTAAAGATGAATTTAAGGAGGGAGGACGCGTACTGGGCATGCCGTACTTTGATGATGAGGCTGGGAGACCCTTCATAGTAGCCACGGATGCTGGGCCTTGTTCGGTAGGAGGGTTGCTGTCTCAGAAGGACGCTGAAGGGAAGGAAAAACCGTTAAGATTTGAGAGTATGACACTTAATATGGCAGAGCGAAACTACAGTCAATTCAAGAAGGAAGTATTAGCTGTTCTGCGGTGTCTAGACACGTTCAGACATTATATCTATGGACGACGGTTCATCTTGAGAGTGGATCCCACCGCGGTCGCCTCTGTCCTCCAGAAGGACTTTAGCCTGACAGACCCGACCATTGCACGATGGTTAATACGGATTCGACTATATGAATACACAGTAGAGAGGATATCTGACACTAAAAATGTTGTAGCGGATGGGCTCTCTCGGATCCCTCTTGAGGGAGAGCGCCCGATAGTAGTTGGAGCCCTGACAATGGCGGAGCCGAGACGCGCCGAGAGATTTCTGGTTAACCTTTACGAGGGCAAGTACCGAACGATAGGGCTACACCTGACGGGAGAGGAGAGTCAAGATTTAGATATCCGGAGACAAGCAGCCCAGTACTGCCTTAGAGCGGGCCACCTTTTCCGAAGGCCAGTAGGCTCGGGGATGCCCTTACGAGTAGTCTGTGACCCTGAGGAGAGACAGACAATAGTTGCAGAGCTTCACGACGGGGTAGTCGGAGGACACAGGGGAGTCAAAGGAACCTACGAAAAGATACGTCGGCTGTACTGGTGGGAAGAACAGTATAAGGACGTCGAGAGGTACTGTATGACATACGAGGAATGCCAGAAAAGGGCTCTTGTGAAATACAATGAGCCACTTCATCCATCCTATCCAACCCGACCAGGAGAGAAGGTACACATCGATCTGGTGAAGATGCCGAAAGGGGTAGGCAATATGAACTATATTGTGAACATACGAAACGACTTCACGGGGTTCGTGGACGGTAGACCTATCAGGAGTAAGACGGCAAAGGAAGTAAAGAACTTCGTCCTGGAGTACTTATCTAGGTATGGTTGTGTCAGCAAGATAGTGATGGACAGAGGAGCAAAATTCATGGCCGACGAGGTTCAGAATGGATTTCAAGAGAGCTGGGGCGAGAGTTTCGATAGCCACCGCATATCACCCACAGTCGAACTCCCCAGTAGAGAGGGGACACCAGACTCTGATAGCGTCACTGTCCAAGTGGTACAAGGGTAAGGACAGTGATTGGCCACGATATTTTCAATACGCAATATGGGCAGACAACATCACGGTCCGGGCTAGTACCGGATACCCACCGTACACCTTGTGGTTTAGGCGACATTGTCCGCTCCCCATAGAGTTTCACGTCGACAGCTGGACAACCGTCGACTGGGCGGAGGAGATGTCCAGAGAGGAACTCTTAGCTGCCCGAACAAGACAGATAGCCTACGGTTTGGAAGATAACCTCATGACAGCGGCAGATCGTCTAGCAGTGGAAAGGGACAAGGGTAAAGAGAGATGGGATAAGAACGTGCAAATCAGGGAAGAGAGGGTGAGCGTAGGAGATGTGGTCCTTCTCTACGACGAGACACTGGAGAGGACTTGGACCGGAAAACTCGCAAATAGATGGATGGGACCTTACAGAGTGGTTGAGACACTCGACTGGGGTGCATATATGATAACATAATTGGATGGATCTAAGTGGAAGGACCCACTGGAGGGCGCTAGGTTAAAGCTGTTTTGACCCAGGCCTGCACCCACCTTATCGCTGACGGGCCCCAAAGGAAAGGGGAAGGCAAAGATGGAGGATGGGGATCCCTTGAGACGATTCGAGGCAGGCGAAAGCTCCAAGAAGAGAAAAAAAATACAGAAAAGAAAGGTCAAAGGGTTAGCTCTAGGAAGAAAGAAGAAATGGTTATTCGTGCTCAAGAGGGCCAAACGGAGAGTCCGCATTAGACAAACTGGCGGGACGGCACCCTTCTCGGGCCAACGACAGAAAAAAAAGAGGATCCTACCAAGGCCGAGAACCCGGCGGGGAAGGAAAGTAAAAAAACATCTACTTAGCCCTAGAACTCAAAACAGACTGAAACATAAGACAATTGATCGCCGACGTGGGCGTCCTTTACGGGCCATCACCCTGAAGCTCGTCCGCTTCGTCTGACGTGAGTGGGTAGGGCTCGACGGGGGCGTCGAGAAGTGGTCCGGGCTAACTGTCAGGCGGCCATAAGCAGTGCGCCGCCTGAAATCTGGGGTTTTGGATCTTAGGCTCAAAGACAAGTCCGTGTTTTGACGGTGCTCCGGGTTGACCAGGCAGCAAAAATTAGGGGAGCTTAGGGCACCCCTGATTTTGGGCGCGCTGAACTTTACGAGCAACCCTCAAAGACGACGAGATGAGTGGCCGCACTAGGCGCGACCGGGGCCGAAATGAAGCCTCAAATTTTTGCCCATATTAGTACCACAATTAAAGATGGGGAAAAGGGATCAAGGCCAGAAGTGGAGGAAGGAAAAATATAATATCCCTTAATTTTTTTATTTTTCGCGGCATTTGATTCTAGGGGGAATATCCTTGTTATTTTGTGTTCCCGGCAGAGAAATTAAAAACATAGAAAAAKATTAAAYATGRAAAAAGAGWAAAGAAACAAAAGAAATTCGKYCATTTATTTAAACTTTCTSKGAATTTAATTTTGGGGAATTTACGGTTGATTTGCTATTTYCGACAATAGAATTAAGRAGAAGGAAGAATGATATAAAAAACGATGAAAGGGRCGGGAACCCACGACTATTGAGAGATTGGCCTTATTTCGCCTTGAATACCYGCCGTYGGCAYTGACCCTGGATTGACCATTTTCCCCGGATTCTAACAGTTTTYACTTCTGCTGATGGTCGAGGAATCCTGCGTCGCTTTCCYTGTTGCCTGAATACTAACGTTGCCACAGTTGGGGTGTTCTGAGAGCGGGAGTTGCATGGACCACATGGGGTGGTGCTACCTTGGGTAGAGAGTATGGGATGTGGCTTGGTACGAGTAAGGGGGTTCAAAGAGATTCTACACTGTTATGGAGTGGCTGCATCCTACGGAATTCGGGGTGTTTCTGGTTCGGTATGGGCACGGTGACCCTAGGGACGCAGCGGTGATTTATGGTCAGGACCAGAACCCCTACGACAGTTTATTTCAGGGTTGGAGCCAGCCGCGGTCCGGAACCGCTGCGCCGCCATATTTCAGGGTCGGCGTCGGTTTGGCACATCCCACGATAACATTTTCACGCTCGGCAGCACTACGGAGGCTTATTTCAAGTACGGGACCTTGACAACAGTTATTCCCGAATCGGTGCCATCACGGGTACTTATTTCACGTTCGGCACTACCACAGCAGTTTGTTTCAGGGTTGAGGCCATTACCGAGACATATTGTGGGCACTGTAGTAATTCATTTCCAGGGCCGGGACCGGTACGACAGTTGCTTCGGGTTCAACATCAGTTTATTTCGGACTTGCTCCTACCGTGATACCTCGTTTCAGCTTCGGTGCCGTTACCGTGACTTATACTCAGGTTTGGGACACTGCGGCGATTTATTACCTGGCCGCGGCCACTACAACAGTTTATGACAGGGTTGGAACTTTAACATCTTTGCTGCACGGTCCTGAGATGGCGTGATACAGCAGCCCAACTCTGCTCTTCAGGTTCGGTCAGACTCGGCACCAGTGCGGTGCAGGCTATTCAGGTTCGGGATAGTACGGCATGTTGCTCGCCCCTATGTGGCAGCAGGTCTGTGGTCCCTATTTCTCAATGATTGTTTGAGTCCGGCCCCGGAACCAGCGGAATCGGCTACTGCAGTGGGGACAGACATTCAGGCGCAACTGACCAGCGGATTAACTGAGAACTGGCCCGGSTGTGACGTGCCTGGGCCTTAAGGGCCTTGGTACTACGACACCCATTTGTTGGCTCGAGGGCGGTGCTCACGTACCACCCGCATGRAGCCTGTGCTGAGCCTGGTGTCGATGGTCTTGGCTGTACAAGCAGATGCTGAATGAATATAGGGACGGACAGAGGAGAAAGGGGGGACAGTGTGCAAGGCGTACCCGCGATACCGGGCTCAGAGTGGAAACATCGATGCGCAGACTGTTGCACGGGGGATGAGGCGAGAGGACTGATGGATGACATGCCAGGCGTACCCGACGCACAGCTATTGCGGAGCATTGCAAGCACGGGGGAGACGCGTCGGCGCTCAGGCAGTTACTCGCGTGTGAGAGGGAGAGGGAGAGAGAAGGGGACTGCACAGCGGGGGAGAGAGATTCTGTGTGAGGGCGAGACTGGTTTTCATAAAAGCCATTGTCGCTGGTGAAGTGGACAGCCATTGCCGCTGGTGAAGTCACCTGCTATCCCGCTGATGAAGAGAAAAGCTATCCCGTTGATGAAGAGAAAAGTTATCCCGTTGGGGAAGTGGACAGTCATTGCCGCTGGTGAAGTCACCAGCTATCCCGCTGATGAAGAAAAAAGTTATCCCGCTAATGAAGAGAAAAGTTATCCCGTTGGTGAAGTGGACAGCCATTTCCGCTGGTGAAGTGAGCAGTTATCCCGCTGATGAAGAGAAAAGTCATTGTCGCTGGTGAAGTGAGCAACTATTCCGCTGATGAGAAGATCAGACATTGAACAACTATTATGTGGGTGATGAGAATTGCCATTTCCGCTGGTGGAGTGAACCGCTATTCTGCTGATGATGGGATCAGCCGTTCAACCGACGCCGAGATCAACCGTTTCCGTTGGTGAGGTGAACTGGCAATTCCGCTAGTGAAGTGAGCAGGGGGCAGAGAGAGAGTGGGAAAGAGAAACTGTGGGGGATAAGAGGGTGTACTCCCGTGAGGACCTGCGTGGCCGCAAGGGTGAGAATTGTCGTGCTTGCTGGTGGGCACGAATCCGTTTATTGTTCCAAATTTTATTAACCTGGCTGGGAACGCGGCCAGGTTCATTCATATTTGAGCCAACTGGCTCGCAGCCCAGCAGCGAGAATACTTGGGGCTTGATGGACGAGCAGGGCAGAAAGAGACACAAGAACGAGCGAGCGAGCGGGTGAGAGAGAGAGGGAGAGAGTGAGAGAGAGAGAGAGAGAGTGAGAGAGAAGGAGTGTGCAGTGAGAGAGGTGGAGAGTGCACCGTGAGAGAGAGAGGGGGGGGGATATATATATATATATATACAGAGAGAGAGAGAGAGAGAGAGAGAGAGAGAGAGAGAGAGAGAGAGAGTGCGCAGACAGAGGGAAAGTTAGAGATAGAGAAAGGGAGAGAAAGGGAGAGAGAGAGAGAGAGAGAGAGAGAGAGAGAGAGAGAGAGAGAGAGAGAGAGAGAGAGAGAGAGTTAATAAGAGAGGGCAACGAGAGTGGTAGAGTAGGATCCCGAAGGACGATGGTGA